TACGGCTAAACTCGTGGCCGAATTGGTGTACAGTTTGTCGACCAATGGTTTCCCCAAATGACACAAGTATTCAATCAAATCGTCGTATGATTTGGTGGTCGACGACGAGGACGACGAAGACGTCTTCACTGACGTCCCGGCGATCGCATCCATGGCTTGTCTTTGATGTCTTGTGATGTGATTTTTGACACAAAAATACTTTTACGTTAAATCAACAAAACATTTCGTAATGCCGTTCGTAATTAACGTTACGTAAAGTACAGTCGGTGCGCAAAAAGGGCGTAACAATCAAAGCAAATGCCATACAATTTGCGCCCTTTTATGCAATTTGATTGAGTTATTCATATAAAACGTGTATTAAATGGCAAATCAATGCTTGTTTTTGAGACACAAATTGTTTTAAATGTAATTTTTGTGTTAAATTACGTTATGTTTTGATTTGTGTTTTGTGTCAAAGATAATCACCGATTGGATCCCCTTTCCGGACACAACGCTATGGGCTCTCAGACATCGAAGACAGTGGACGGACCGCTCGGTTCGGTGGAAGTGAGGGACAGACCGCCCGATCACAAGAGGACCGGAGGTATAAGTGAGTGTCCGATGCATCAGAAGGACAAACCAATGGTCGCCTCCGAGTGTCCCATAAGTCAAGACAATTATATGCCGGTTGTGGCCAATCAACAGCCGTCACCCGACCAGCCCTTCCCGCTTCCGACCGACCGTAAGGTCTCGTCGATACCGAAAGCGGAGCCCAAGTCGGAGGACGACCTCTACTGGCAATACCCGTCGGAACAGATGTTCTGGAATGCGATGCAGAAGAAGGGCTGGAAATGGGATAAACCCGTCGACGGCGACCACAAGTGCGACCAAATGAAGCCCAAAGACATGTCGGATATCATCAGAATTCACAACTTTAACAATGAGATGGCGTGGAAAGAGATCCAGAAGTGGGAAATGGCTTTCCATTTGAATGAATGCCCGAATGGACCCAAACTGAAACGCTTCGGCGGCAGAGCTCAAGACTACAGCCCGCGGGCGCGGATCCGCTCGTGGATGGGCTATGAGCTACCTTTTGATCGACACGATTGGATAGTCGACCGCTGCGGTCAAGACGTCCGCTATATCATCGACTACTACGACGGCCAGAAGTTGGACTCAAACAGCGGTAACTTCGCTATACTGGACGTGAGGCCAGCCGTCGACTCTTTCGGCAACGTTTGGGACCGAATGCGAGTCGCCTTTTGGCGATGGACTCAGTCCTCCGAACAGTAGAGCTCTTCATTAGCAGTATTTGTTGCCATCATTTACTTCATAGCAGTAATTGATATAAAACTCATTCATATGTTTAGTTAGAATTTTAAATTAATTTTTTTGTAAATTTTTAGCACTTATTCTAGTGATAGTCGAATAAATTATTAAATTATATAAATAAAAGCAATAACTAATTGAAAACATAATTTAATGCCTTTGAAAATCAATTATTTGTTTTGTCATTCAATTAAACGATTGGTTTTTCACAAATCTGGTTATCATGTCGAGTGTGGCTCTCGGCTGATCATAGGGTAAAATATGTCCGCCATTGCGAACAATAACCTGAGTAAACTTGTCCACTGCCCGCACATAACCGGCCACTGAGGGGTCTTTATCGGTCACTTTCCATATCAATCGGTCGGCCTTTTTGTATTGATCCGCTTTAGACCACTCAATACTTTGTACAAAACTCTCGGTGAGCGGTGCGGCCACTATAATGTCCAATTGGCCGCTATATATCAACACCTTGTAGTCGGCGTCCAACAGTGTGGCCACCCATGGCTTTACCGATTGCATGATATCATTAATTATATGCATTTCCACAGTATTTCCGTCACTAAAGGTAAGATTTCCGACATGAATGGCACGTCTCGTGTCCTCCAAACCCAGATATTGAGGAAAATACGCAAACTCTTGGGGCGCGACGTCTAACAGGAAGTTGTAGTAAAACGTAAGACCCGTTACGTTCGTGAAGTACGAAGTGGTGTTGATTAGGTCACCATTGAGTAGATAATCA